ATTAGTTGCCAATTATTTTCTTTCTATTTATAGTAGAGATGGGTCTCGCTCTTGCTCAGGCTGGTCTCGAACTCCTGATCTCGAGCAATTCGCCCACCTTGGCCTCCCAGAGTGCTAGGATTACAGGCGTGAGCCACTGCGCCCGGCCAGGTTAATTTCTTAATACCACTAATTCCATTTCTTCTAACATGTAGATAGGAACTCCAACATCATAGATTTGAGGTTCAAGTAAGATCTGATATTTTAAAAATTTCTGGTATTTAATAAGTACTGAGTAATGTGTATATATTTGTGATAGAGACATAATTGCTGTAAAACTTACTTTGGGCTGTATCATGTACACAGGATGCTGGATAAATATTCTTAGATGATAATGCTTAATATGGTCCTTTAACCTTCATTAAATGAATTAATGAATGAATGAGTAGTTATATGGGACCCTGAGTCACTGAAAAGTTTCATGGGTAGATTTAGGTGAGTCATGGGTAGATTTGCTGGCCTATCTGTACTATATATTTGGGTATTTTAAAATTTTATATGTGTGAGTATTATAGAAATGAGTTAATATGCTTTAGTCCTAGGTTAGTTATTCTTGGGAACCTTGGTGATTTTTGTTCCAGATCTGCTTTTTTTTTTTTTTTAACAACAGTGGGAACTTTTTAGAATACTGGTATTAGAAATAGTAGGACAGCTGTTTCTATCCCAGGATTCAACTCCTGTCCGCTCTAAAGTGCATTGATTTTAATTTTTTTGAAATTGTTATATAATTGTACATATTTTGGGGGTACATATGATATTTTGATATATGTATATAATGTATAATGATCAAATCAGTGTGATTGGGATATCTACCATCTCAAACTGTTTATCTTTTCATTGTATTGGGAACAATATAATTCTTTTCTAGCTATTTTGAAATGTGCAAAAAATTGTTAACTATAATTTTGCTACTATACTATTGAATACTAGAATTTTTTTACCCATTAACCAATTTCTCTTATTCTCCCCACTTCCCATCCCAGCCTCTGATAACCATCATTTTACTCCCTCCTTCTATGAGATATCTACTATTGTAGCTCCCACATATGACTGAGAACATGTGATATTTGTCCTGCGCCTGGCTTATTTCATTTAACATAATGACCTCCAGTTCCATCCATGTTGCTGCAAATGACAAGATTTCATTCACTTCTATGGCTGAATACTACTCCATTGTGTATATGTACCACATTTTCTTTATCCATTCATCTGTTGCTGCACACTTAGGTTGATTCCATATTTTGGCTATTTTAAACAGTGCTGCAACAAACATAGGAGTGCAGATATCTTTGATATCCTGATTTCCTTTCTTTTGGATTTATACCCAACAGTAGGATTGTTGCATAACATTGTTGTTCGATTTTTTAGTTTTTTGAGGCACTTCCATACTGTTTCCATAATGGCTATACTAATTTACAGTCCTGCAGACAATGTATGTGTGTTCCCCTTTCTCTGTATCCTCACCAGCATTTGTTATTTTTTTGTCTTTTTGATAATAGCCATTTTAACTGGGGTGAGATGATACTTCAGTATGGTTTTGATTTGCATTTCCCTAGTGATTAATGATGTTGAGCATTTTTTCATGTACTGTTGGCCATTTGTATGTCTTCTTTTGGGAAATGTTTATTAAAGTCTTCTGCCCATTTTTAATACTGAAATTATTTGTTCTTTTGCCATCGAGTTGTTTGAGTTTCTTATATAATCTGGTTATTAATTCCTTGTTGGATGGATAGTTTGCAAATATTTTTTCCCATTCTGTAGGTTGTTTCTTCCCTTTGTTGATTGTTTCCTTTTCTGTGCAGAAGCTTTTTAGCTTGATGTAATTTTGTTTGTGTTTATTTGCTTTAGTTGCCTGTGCTTTTGAAGTCTTACCCCGAAAATCCTTGCCCAGACCAATGTTCCATAGCATTTCCCCAATCTTTATTTTGAGTAGTTTTAGTTTCGGGTTTTACATGTAAGTCTTTACTTTGAGTTGATTTTTGTCTGTGGTGAAAGATGAGGATATAGTTTCATTCTTTTGTATATGGATATCCAGTTTTCCCAGCACCATTTATTAAAGTGACTGTCTTTTCCCCAATGTATGGTCTTGATGTTTTTGTTGAAAATGAATTGGCCGTGTGTGGATTCATTTCTGGATTTTATATTCTGTTCCGTTGGTCTATGTGTCTGTTTTTGTGCCAGTACCATATGGTTTTGTTTACTATAGCTTTGTAGTATAATTTGAAATTAGATATTTTGATGCCTCCAGCTTTGTTTTTTTTGCTCAGAATTACTTTAGCTATTCAGATTCTTTTGTGGTTGCAGATGAATTTTAGGAGTGTTACTTGTATTTCTGTGAAGAATGTCACTGGTATTTTTATAGTAATTGTACTGAATCTGTAGATTGCTTTGGATAGTATAGATATTTTAATAATATTATTCCAATCCTTAAGCATGGGTATCTTTCCATTTTTTTGTGCTTCCCTCAGTGTTTTATGGTTTTCCTTGTAGAGATCTTTTACTTCTTTGATGAAATTTATTCCTAAGGATTTTATTTCTTTATTTATTTTTATAGTTATTGTAAATAGGATTGCTTTCTTGATTTATTTTTCAGGTGATAGATGTTAACATATAGAAACACTTCTGATCTGTGTGTGTTAATTTTATATCCTGCAACTTTATAGAATTTGTCAGTTCTAAGATATTTTTGGTGGAGTCCAGGTTTTTCTAAATATAAGATCATGTCATCTGCAAACAAGGATAATTTGACTTCTTTCTTTTCCATTTCGGTGCCCTTTATTTCTTTTTCTTGACTAATTACTTTGGCTAGGACTTCCAATACTATGTTGAATAAAAAGGGTGAAAAGCATCCTTGTCTTTTTCCAGATATTACTGGAAAGGCTTTCAATTTTTCCCCCTTCAGTAGTATAATATTAGATGTGGGCTTGTCATATATGGCCTTTATCATGTTAATGTATTTTCTTCTTGCCTAATTTATGATAAGTTTTCATTATGAAATGTTGACTTTATCAAATGCTTTGTCTGCATCTGTTGAAATGATCATGTGGGTTTTGTTCTTGATTCTGTTAATATATTTATCGATTAGTGCATGTTGAACCATCCTTGCATCTCTGTGATGATTCCAGCTTGCTTATGGTGAATGATCTTTTTAATGTGTTGTTGAATTTGGTTTGCTGGTATTTTGCTGAGGATTTTCACATCTATGTTGTTTTTTTTTTTTAATTTTTAATTTTTTTTTATTTTTTGAGACAGAGTCTCGCTTTGTTGCCCAGGCTAGAGTGAGTGCCGTGGCGTCAGCCTAGCTCACAGTAACCTCAAACTCCTGACTCAAGCGATCATCCTGCCTCAGCCTCCTGAGTAGTTGGGACTACAGGCATGCGCCACCATGCCTGGCTAATTTTTTCTATATATATTAGTTGGCCAATTAATTTCTTTCTATTTATAGTAGAGATGGGTTCTCACTCTTGCTCAGGCTGGTTTCGAACTCCTGACCTCGACCAATCCGCCCGCCTTGGCCTCCCAGAGTGCTAGAATTACAGGCGTGAGCCACCGCGCACGGCCCACATCTATGTTTATTAGTGATACTGGCTTGTAGCTTTCTTATTTTCTTGTGTCCTTATCTGGTTTTGGTATTAGGTTAAAGCTGGCTTCCTAGAATGTGTCTGAAGGTATACCTCCTCTTGAACTTTTTGAAACAGTTTGAGAAGGATGTTTGGTAGAATTCAGCAGTGAATCCATCAAGTCCTGGGCTTTTATTTGGTGGAAGACTTATTACCGCCCAGATCTCATTACTTTCTAATGGTCTATTCAGGTTTTCTGTTTCTTCATGGTTCAGTCTGGTAGGTTATACGTGTCTAGGAATTTATCCATTTTTTCTTGGCTTTCCAATTTATTGGTGTATAGTTGTTTATAATGGTCTCTAATGATCCTTCTTTGTATATCTGTGGTATCAGTTGTGGTGTTTCCTTTTTATCTCTGATTTTATTTATTTGGGTCTTCTCTTTTTTCTCTTAGTGTAGCCAGATGTTTGTAAATTTTGTTTATCTTTTCAAAGCAATTTTTTGTTTTGTTGTTATTTTGTATTTTTAAATGTCAATTTCATTTATTTCTGCTGTTATCTTCATTATTTCTTCTACTAATTTTGGGTTTAGTTTGTTCTTGGTTTTGTTCTTACTTTAGGTGCATCATTAGGTTGTTTATTTGAAGCCTTTTTCTTTTTTTTTTTAGATGTGTGCATTTATTCCTATAAACTTCCCTCTTAGTACTGCTTTTGCTTTATCCCATAGGTTCCAGTATATTATGTTTCCGTTTTCATTGCTTTCTAGAAGTTTTTCTATTTCCTTCAAAATGTCTTTATGGACACACTGGCCATTCAGGAGCATGGTGTTTAAGTTCCATGGGGTGAGGGATAAGAGCATGGCCTCCCAAGTCAGTCTGCCAGGGATCACCTTACAGCTCCTGAACCTCCCTAAGCCCCATTTCTTTACCTACAAGCTAAGAATTTACCTGCTAAAATTTTGTGCTTTAAATGAGATAAATACATCTAAAATGAGTTAGTGCCTCACTTGCACTATAATAAATACTCAGTAAATATTACAGCATTGCTACTAATGCTGCTGTAATTTAGAATAATGAGGATTAAATTCTGATTAAAGAATATTACTGATTAATTCACTCGGCACAGTACCTGGCACATAGTAGATACTAGGTAAAAATATTCCCTCTACCTCCATGTTTAAATTCCTATCACACCCTATTTCTCATGAGTAGGTTAACAAGTAGATGACTTTCTACCTATAATGAATCTCTCCTCAGATCCCCAACTAGAAGAATGAATGACCAGCTTAATATGCCTTGTAATATTAGGAGGGATTTTAGTATTAGATTTGCATGTTTTTAAAATTGTTTTTCTTAATAGCACATTAAAATATGTGTACTAAACTATTTATCTGGTTGTACAGATGCTGTTGACCGAGTACTTGGATATGAAAAATACCCGTACGTCCTCTGAACCATCAGCTCAACTGAGCTATGCCAGTACTGGACGAGAGTTTGCAGCCTTTTTTGCCAAGAAGAAACCTCAAAGGCCAAAAAATTCTCTTTTCAAGTAAGTATCACTCTGCTGGTAAGATAGCAGGTGTCAAGAAGTGTTAGATGCAAGTAGAATGACTTTCTACTTTATCGACAGCCATTACTTTCTCTAGCTAAATTAGATTTTAAGTAATTAATGAGAAGTGAATACGTGTTCACTGTTGTTTACTTTTGTTTTCTGTAAGGTGAAGTGGCTGTTTTGGAATGTGGTTACTGGAATATCTTGAAATCTTAATAAAAATTTGTGGAACTTGTTTCTGGGGAGTTTTATATAAAATTAAGGGAAATGAAACTCTCCAGTTGTTTCTGGGGATTTTTATATGAAATGAAACGAAATATGTCGGCATTGAAAAAGCCCTAAGTGCCAAGAAACAACCTGTTAATAAAGTTATGCATATCTTCTGTGCCAAGCAGTATTGGGCTTTATGTGGTTAGATGTTTAATAAAGGAACAATCTGGAAACTTTTTTCTAATTACTATCTTTAGTTAACCCCACCAGGCCATGTGCCCATAGTGTATATCTCTTGGTAATAGCTAATAGTTATAATATTGACATTAATAATAATGACAGCTACCATTGATTGAGTGCTTCCTAGGTACCAGGCACCATTCTAGGTGAATTGCTCAAAATAATGTCAATTAAATAATTTAACAAAGATTATGTCAAATTTCAGCAGCAATAGCAGTAGTAACTAACATTTACTGAGTTCTTACTATTAATCAAGCCATTTCATCATTCTCTTGAATTGTGTCATTTACTTATTATAGCCTTATAGGCAAATTTTCTACATTTAATCCTCTCATATATAGAAAAAAAATTGAGATACCAGAGGTTAAGTAATTTATGTAATGTCACAGAGCTCACAGTGCTAGAAGCAGGACTTAAATCCTGGTGGTCTAACTCCAGACTTATATGTTCTTTTGAGGGATTAATAGTTATTTAAGAAGTTGTATCTGTAAACATAAGCATGTAAAGTGACTATAAAAGTATCATCCTTGCATTTCGAATTCATTTTTTTAAATAGCTAAAGTTGTAGTATCTTTATTAGTTCATTTTTGAGATTTGTTTTTATTTTGGATTAATAATGTTTTTAGTAATTAAGGAAAGTTTCAAGAGTTCATTTATATTTTGGCCTAGTAGAGAGGAGATTTCGTGTGTCCCTGCCTAGAATGAAATCCATTGTGTTTACTGAATGCATTTCTTTTTAAAGTGTTTTATTCAGAGGGTGGATGCATTATTAGTTCAAATGCTTTAGGCTGCAAGTAACATAAAATCTCAAATAGAATAGATTGAACTGTAGGAAATTATTATCTCACACAATAAAGACTGATGTGGAGGTGGTTTCCTTAATGTAGCACTACAGTACCATAAAGGACCCAGCTCTTTCCATCTCTCTGCCTGTCATCCTCGACACATCAGTCATGATTTCTATTGTGGTTATGATGCGTTTTTCATTAGTTCCAGTCCAATAAAGATGGTAATGCCATGGAAATCGCATGTGATTCTTCCTGTGAATCACTCTCTCTTTCTCTCTCTCTTTTTAATATTTACATTTAATTTGTTAGAGCAGTTTTAGGTATGCAGAAAAGTAGAACAGGAAGTACAGAGAGTTCCCTTCTACTCTCCCATCGCCCCCTGTGTCCCCGATTAACACCTTGCATTAGTGTTGTGTATTTGTTACAATTGATGAACCAATATTGAGATATCATTATTAACTAAAGTCCCTAGTTTACATGTAGAGTTTACTCTGTGTTGTACAGTTCAAATATCCACCATTACAGTGCACACAAAATAGTTTCCCTGCCTTAAACATTAGTGTTCCACATATTCAGCCCTGGCAACCACTGATCTTTTCATTGTCTGCATAGTTTTTCCTTTTCCAGAATGTCATATAGTTGGAGTCATACAGTATGTATCCTTTTCAGACTGGCTGTTTTCACGTAGCAATGTGCATCTGAGGTTCTTCCATGTGTTTCCATGGCTTGGTAGTTATTTCTCTGTATTGCTGAATAGCGTTCCTTTTTGTGGATGTGCCACAGCTTGTTTATCTATTCACTTGTTGAAGGATGTCTTGGTTGCTTCCAACTTCTGGCAGTTGTGAATCAAACCTGCTATAAAAACTCATGTGCAGGTTTTTACGTAGACTAAGTTTTCCACTCACTTCGAAAAATACCTAGGTGCAAAATTGCTGGATCATATAGTAAGATGATGTTTAGCTTTGTACAAGACTGTCAAACCATCATTCAAAGTGGCTATGCCATTTAAAATCTTTTTACAATTAATAATTAGTCATTCATTATCCATTTATTGATCTTTCCTGCAAGTATCAAAGCTCCTCTGCAAGTTTCCAGCAGGTTCTAGGATTGGGTGTGATGCCCACTCCTAAACCAGTTGCTGGCATGGGGAAGTAGACTAGAGTAGTCGTCTTAAGCCAGGCAGGTTCATCTCTGTTGCTGGGCTTCCAGCTGAAGTGGGAGCCACTTTTCCTGAGCACATGGCTGAATGTGCTCAGGGACGGAGCAAGGAAGCAGAATGCCCAGATGGAACCGGGCCTATGCCGGCAAGCAGGAAAGGTAGTGGAAGCACAAGGTGGCTGATAGAGGTTACCAGGACCACCTCAGGTGCTGCCTACCCAGGTGTTTTTTTTCCCTTTCCTCCCCTGCTCTCTCTCCCCCCCACACCTTTGCCCCTCCCCACTTTCCCTTCCTAGCTCAATTCTAAATCTGGATTTATTGCAGGAAGCAGGCATCTGTGTTTTTAGATTTCATGTTTGCAACCATCACCCCCACTTTCAACCTCAGACCACATATACATTTTCAAACATTTAGCCAATGCATCTGAAGTCATGGCATTGAAAAAAAAAATAAGTTGTTGGAAATGAACAAATTACCTTAAATAATTGTTACACATTTATTATTGTTGGGCAGTAGTAAAAACTCATCACTGACACACAATCAGGCAGTTATTACAGATTTGTCTGTTTCCAGTCTTGGTTCTGTCAGTAATGAGCCACGTGTGCCCAGGCAGGTCTCCTGTCTTGGCAGGGCTCGGTGCCCTGGGCTATAAAATAAGGAGGTGAGAGGGAATATTCTCTAGTGCCTCTTTTGTTGTAAAATTATATCAATCTGTGACTTGTTGCAAACATAAAAAGAATTCCTGAGTAGCAAAAATACATCAAGCCATAAAGGATTAAGATTTTGGCGAACTATAATCTGTTTTTATCGCATCTGTGAAGGACTTTATTACCCTCTTTAATTGCCCCTAGCCAAGGTTAATTAAGTATGTTTAAGTTCTCTCTTATTGTCCAGCATGTGCCTCTCTATTCTTTGCTCAAGAGTTTATTTTTTTCCCTCGCTGCCTCTGATCAATAGCTGTCAGCGTGCTTTTGGAGGTCGGTGGCTTCTTTTCTGCACTTGACTGGCAGGTGGCACTTTTGAAGTACTGTACACTTTGCCTTCCTCCCGGCTGTTAGTGCCCTCTCAGTTCTTGGCAGGGTGCAGAGAGGGGATCAAGTAACCCAAATGTTTTCCTCGCAGACTGCCATTCATCTTGGTATTCATATTCCTTGTCAAGTAAAGGATAAAGAAGGCATAATTAAGAAAATGATGGTGCTCCTTCCTTGTTGCCAGAAGCCTATCCCATTATCACTGTTGCTCTTACTTGTGTCGCTGCTTATCCCTTAGTGGCAGTCTTTCTTAGAAGGATTCCTCCTTCTGTCAGCCTATTATCCCGCCTTTGAAAGTCTCAGGCTTGAAATGGAATCTCTTAGCACATCACAGGATTTATGGTTTGATATAGTCACAATTTTATCTGCTCTTTTTTTTTTTTTTTTCTTACCTGCATGTTTCTCTTAAGACTGATTTGTTTTTGTTTTTTCTTTATTGTCATCGTTGCTTTAGGTTTTAGAGACCTGTTCTTTATCACGAATCTGTCCCCCGTATTTCTGATCTCTGCAACGGTTCCTGGGTAGATGTGAACAAACATTTTGTAGTGTGGCATTTTTGAAAGTGTTTTATGTGCTAGGCAGCAGGTCAAAAAACAAGCAGCCATTTAGAAATGGTATTATTGTTAGGACGTTTAGGGAGAGACCATGGATGCATTGCCCCTTTGGTGTGGTTATTCAACAGCATTTCTAATACGTCCTTTGTACTAGTCCTCTACGTGGGGGAGTTGGAAAGGTGAGAGTTCAGCTCTGAGGAGCCAGTTTGTCTGTGGTGGCAGCTGGCAGTCACTGATGGTTTTGACCTTTATAGGATGCTCTTGTTGCTGTGTGTAAGGACCCTGGCAAAGGGTGATGGTAGTCTGAAGGCAAAAGAAAGTTGGGGCAGATCATAGTTGTAAATTGAGAGTAAGCACAAGATCCAAATGCTGTTGTAGAGGAGCATTAGCCAGGAACACTGTTCATAAATCAAGGTCTGTGGCAGCTGTCCCTGGCTCTGTCAGGGTTTAGCCAAAATTTCTTGATCAGGGAACATCAGGGAGCATCACAGACCAGAACAGAGCACTTTTGGAATACACAGCTGGACTCCAGCTCTTTGGTTGACAGCTCACTGTTGTTTGCCTTGTGTTTCATCGCAGGTTCGAATCATCCTCCCACGCCATCAGTATGAGCGCCTACCTGCGAGAACAGAGAAGGGAGCTCTATAGTCGGAGCGGAGAACTTCAAGGTGGGTGACTGGACTATTCTGGAAAAAATAGTTTTCTGGAGGGATATCTGAAACATTTATTGCATGTGAGTTTGTGATCTGTATTCACAAGATTGTTTCAAGATAACAAAATTTAATGACATGATTATCTGTTTTTTCTATCATTTCCCCACATGTACTGCCAAACAGCTAAAACTCTTACTGTAGACACAGGATGTATAGACCCGCTACCGTTCATGTGGAAATTCAGAGCAAAAAGAGATGAGGCCAGGCTCCTCTTGCTTAGATAGCAGATCCGAGTCTAGTCACAGTCTAGGAGAATGCCAGACTTCTGTGACCACCACTGTTACTTTAAATTGTTTTTCACACCATCCGGAATATGGCAGGAATACCTGAGATTTGGAAAAAGGAAAGTGCATTATTTAAAGCAGCAGTTCCCAAGTTCCCATCCTTTTTGGCACCAGGGACTGGTTTCATGGAAGACAGTTTTTCCACGGACCGGGGGAGGGTGGGGGATGGTTTCAGGATGATTCAAGGGCATTACGTTTGTTACATTTGCAGCTGCTCCCCAGCAGTGGCGTCACCACCTTAGCTCCACCTCAGATCATCAGGCGTTAGATTCTCATAAGGAGCGTGCAACCTAGATTCCTCACATGCGCAGTTTATAGTAGGGTTCACGCTCCTATGAGAATCTAATGCTCCTGCTGATCTGACAGGAGGGGGAGCTCAGGCGGTGATGTGAGCGATGGGGAGCGGCTGTAAACACAGATGAAGCTCTGCTCGGTTGCCTGCAGCCCACCTCCTGCTGTGTAGCCCAGTTCCTAACCATGCTGGCCTGCTGGCATGGGAATTGCGGACCACAGAGGGAAGAAGACTGCCTTTTCTGAATAGTGGTGTAATCAGCACAACTTTGATACACAGGATGTTTGATTCCCATGTGTCATTACCAAAGAGTTGTAATCTGTAGAAGGAAATACTTAGAAAATAAATTCTAAATAAATAAAAAATCAGACCAATGACCTTTCCTTCTGTAACAGAAAGATGCTGATCATGATAAATGTAATGAATCAAGAAAGATCTGTGCGGGCCTGCTAAGCGTAAAACATCCTAGGTGTTGGAAGGGATGGAAGTTGGGTGCAAAGAAATATAAGGTAAAGCCTTAAGATCCAGTTATCAGAGTAAGGCGCACACATACACACCACACCAATAACAATATCAGGAAGTAAATACAACTAAGTGGGTGGTATGGATAAAATTGCTAGAGGAGTTAAGAAAAGGCAGTGATTATTTAAATTATTTTAGAACTCTGGGCTTTCTCCATGAGGGATGAGAATGAGCACTTTTACTGTCTTTGATGCATTGGGGTCACTTGGGGTATTTTGCAGTGACTAGCCTATGCAATTAAATGTTTTGTTTTTAAGACTCATAGTTCTACATCAAAGCATTACAAAGTAACCAGTCAACCTTTCTGGGTTTAAAGACTATTGCCTAGTTGTTCCTACCTTCACCTTCATTATTAATCTATTAATCTGTTTGTCTTAAGATCCTAATACACTCTCTCATATTTATATCAGTAATAGTTCCACAGGTCATATATGTGGCTACCAGAAGCAAAAGCCTAGAAATATGTTCAGGGTATTAGGAAAAGGGGATTAGCTTACCAACATTTTACTTAGTATTAAAGTGTTATCATACATTCTGGAAAACATGCAGGGTGCATCTTGGGCTCCTGATGTGTAGGAGTTCAGAGAATGGTTGGGATTGGAACACATGAAGGAGTGACCCACTCGGTGGTCAGACAAGGAGTGAAGGAGAAGGGTGACCCCTCCCCCACTGTGGCAGGCTGCTACCTCCTAGAAGAATAGGGTGGGCTGCAAAGTGTGGAAGAGGACACGGAAACAGAACACGCATTCTTGTAGGAGTTAGGATTATACTTGAATTGCTACTTAGGGGTGTAGCAGGTTATCTAGAGCTAGAATATCCTCTGTACTCACAGTGTCTTAATTTTAATTTGTCTTCAGATTTGGCTTAAAGAATAGCTTGAAGTTGCCTCTATAATTTCTCTCCACCCGTCTTCGAGTACACTTACATTTCTTTAACAGTAACAAAGCCTTTTTTTTCCTCTTTAGATTGAATTCTGATTATTTGATTTTTTAAAAAATTAATAAACATTTTTTAGAGCAGTGTTAAATTCCCAGTGAAACTGAGTGGCAAGCACAAAAAGTTCATCGATGCCCACGTCCCCACGCGCGCACAACCTCCTCCAGGACCGACATCTGTCTGGCTCAGCAGTGCAGCCTTTCACTTGGCACTTTAAGACGAAAAGCTAGACCACATAATCGATAGGACAGCGGTACAACTTGTCATTCTCTCAAATTCAAGCCTAATTAGTCAACAAGGGTAAATGATGAACAGTAGATTCTTTGTTTTTGATGGACAGTAAGACTTGTGGGCACTCTGTGCGTTAGCCACGTGGACAGTTTTCAGTTCCCCCTCAGCGGCCCGTGATCTCCTGAGACACGGCACAGTGCAGGGCAGAGGGCTGTGGGCCCGGATTGCCGGCACTTAAAAATCCAGCTCCCCATCACTAGCTTTGTATGCCCTCTGTGCCTCTTTGTCCTTTTCTCTAAATGGGGATAAAAATAACAGACCCCACTCCCTGAGGCTGTTGTGAAAGTTAGGTGAGTTAAGCTATGAACAGTGTTTTTAGAAAGTATCTGACGTAAAGTGAACGTTATGCCTTTCTTTTTCTTCTTAAGCATTACAGTTTCTACCACTGTACTATGACTTCTGAGTTTTTGCACACATTCTGCTTGTCCTTTCTGTCATCTTTGTGTGGCTAAATCCTACTCAGCCTTCCAAGTTAAATTTAGTTGTCACATATTCTGATGAGCTTCTTTCTCTGCGCGTCCCACCTCTCCCCAGCCTTCCTCCCTGCCCCCCTCCCTCTCTGTCTCTCTTTCTCTCTCTCTGTCTCACATGCACGCGCGCACACACACACTCTGGGGTTGTGGCCCCTGCTGTCTGTCACTACCACATCTTTAGTATTCTCTTTCTGAATACTTTCCACACTATATTGTAGATCCATGCTCACTTGAGTTTGCCACCAAACTATAAGCTCCATGAGTGCAATACTATTATATGTCCCATGCTTTGCACAGTGCCTAGGATAATAAATGTTTGATAAATACTGTTTGACTTGATGACAGAGTGAATGAGGACAGTTAAGATCTAAAGTAGCATAGAGATCACCATCAAGAGGTAGGAAGGGCCTTAAAAGGAGATGGAGCCTCTGGTACCCATTATTAGCTTTATAAGTTTCCATAGTTCTTAAGTTTATGGCAAAGTAGAGGTTATATGTATATTTTTGTTCTCTGCAGCTTGATTAAATAGAAACGTTGCCCTTGAGCTGTCTGGCCCAGGACAAAACTGTTGTATGTAATTGAAAAACACTTTAAAATCTAACTAAGTGACAGAAAAATTTTATTCTGTGAGGATGGTTAATGGAAGAATCACTGTAATCTAGCTAGGAATTTTCCCATCCTTCACAAAGTTAATGGAAATATGGGACTTTGAAGCACAAGTCTATTGCACTTACTAGTGTTCAGCAAGATACGAGAAGTATCTTTGGTGGAGGAACAGGTAGTACTTACCAAACACATTATCTTCATAATAATCATTAAACAATACTGCAGTTGAGCTGACACATCACACACTTGGTGAGAGAATGGACTGGCTGACCAGTTTTTGTAAAAGTTTGATGGTATTTCATTCAGAAGCAAAAGTTTCTCCGATGAATGCTTTTAACTTTTCAGTAGGAAAAAAGGGGAAAATCATGCCCATCTTCCATTAAAAATGGCCATCTCTGTTAGTTGTTCCATTAATCTGACTGGTCCAAGGACCACAGTGCGATCTGCATTTCAGCGTAACCTTGGAAAGGCATAATTGAATGGTTCAGCCTAATCATAAGAGACTGGTGGAAGATTTTTGTCTCTTCTGTTAACACCAGATAGCTGCAGGCTTTGCTTCCCAGTGGTTTGGTTCATAGGTCAACTTTTCCTTCTGTTGCAGGGGAGCGGCAAAGAAATCCACCTAGAAAGACCATCAAAGTCATGTTAAAAAGCTCACATTTTACAAAAGTTAGTTCCTGCCAACGTTTTCGATTTATCATGCAATTAAAAATCTTGCGAAGTCTAACAACGCACAAGGGGATAAAAGAATGAAAAAAAGATGAGATTTCATTGGTATTATCAACCCATCTCAATTGGCTCTCACTGTTATGGTACAGATGGTTCATTACATAGTCTGCGTTGGCAATTGGGTTGAGGGGGTGGGGGTGCTGCTTCAAAGCGCGTGAGATAACAGGTGGAAACCTAACTTGCGTGTGTGTCTACGTTAATCAGCGACTCCCTGTTGTTTTCAGCCTTTCCGCTGCTTCATTGTCCTGCTTAGACAGCAGCGTCGTAGGTGAAGAAAGATGCAAGTTTTAATGAACATTTAGCTTGCTTATAGCTCCTCAGGTTTAATGAGGAATTCTTCAGGAGAATAAGATAATTGATGAACACATTATCCTGCAAGGGTTAAAAAAAAAAAAAAAATGAGAAGACTGCCACTCATGACCAAAATAGACTATCTCATTATTATTTCCTGATCTCTTCCAGCATCCTGCTCTCCTCATATTTAAAATTTTTTGCTTTATAATACTTTTCTTAATATCTATGTCTTGCTTATTTGTTAACTTGTTTATTTTTTACACTTCCCTAGATCCAGGACACAAGCCTTATGCTCCAGTGCATACCAGTCCTAGGACAATGCTTGGCTTGAATTAGGTGCTTAAGAAACAGGTGGTGAGGGAGCACTCTGTTCCTAGTATCTAGTTATAGTAAGACACTTCTTGTAAGCCGGTACAAGCCTACTTATTCGAGAAACCCTAGTGGACGTTTTAATAAACAGAGTCTACTTATTCGAGAAACCCTAGTGGACGTTTTAATAAACAGAGTCTAAGTCCTGTGGTTTGCCTT